CAATATAAATGAATGTGATTTAGTTTTGAAAGTTATTGTCTCAAAAACCGATTTATTTAAACAAGATAAATACCTTAACCAAAATATTTTCTTTCGTTTTGTGTAACTTTTTCTGGTAAAAGATGGATTACGAGACGATAAAAAGATTCTTTTTTGGAGTTGATCCAATTTTCAACAGATCTTTGAAATTATGAAAGTATGCTGCAGTGACCGGAACAAGTGAAAATCACTCTCTTAATCTCGTATAGTGAAATCTCGAAGAGATTGAAAATTTAATCTATCTTGGAAAAAGAGTGAAAATACTTTTATTTTATTGTTCAAGAGTGGCAAATTTTCACTCTTTTTAAAATAAAATTTACTCTTTTGGAATGAGATTCATTCCAAAGAAGTAAAATCTCCCTTTGTTGGAATGAGGTTCTGTCTACCCTGCCATTACACTTCAAAAAAGGGATTGAAATTGGAATGCCTCATTTCAAAAGAGTAATCTCGTGGAGTAAAATCTCATCTCTAAAAAAAGTGAAAATCTGCAACTCTAGAATAAGAGTGGCCATATTTTCACTTTTTTTTTCAAAACGCTATATTTTCAGTTTCTTCCAATGAGATTTCACTCCACGAGATTTAGAGAGCAAATGGAGCAATATTTGAAGAATACGCGGGGTGCAATAAGACTTTCCATTCCAGTTCTAATAGGCTTCACTATTAATATGAGGTTGAGTATTATCTTGCAAAAGGACTTTGCGTCGTTTATTCGGTATTGGAAATTGTTTTTTATTTGATTTTCATTTGTATAATACGTTCGTTAATATGTTCAGCGATGACAGTTTCTTTCGGATTTAACAATTCATAGTACACAACATCTTTTCGATTCCATCAAATACACAACGATATACTTGAACCGTGAATATTGCGCCCCGAAGTGAATGTTGCTAGTTGGCCTGAATTAATCCATGATTTTTCTCATTTGAGATTATCGAAATAGATCCATTTCTTATCGCTAGTAACAATTCAATACAAAAAATTCTTTTTGTCCGATGATCAATGAAATATAATATAAATGTTCAATCGATTGGCAGTGGCATTTTTCGATAAGTGATGTGGAACCTATTTTCTTTCTTTATGAATCTTTCCCATATCAAACGTTTAGTAATCGTTGTATGATCAACATTTAATTTTCTGGAGTGAATTGTACTGAATTTTCAATGATTGCAAATCAGTATTTTCAATAATTGCAGATCATCATTTTTCAGCTTTATTGATTGTTCTAAGCGATTTTTGTCGTTAACATTAAAATCACAATTGATGGAGCAACATTATCATAAATTTCCATCAGAATTTTATCATCTTCAGTTGTCGTTTTCTTCTGATTAAAAAACAAAAGCAAGGCATGTAAAAATACTTTTTAAGAAGCTCCATTTTTTTTTAAATAAACCGATGTTTATACCATTACTGTGTCTATTATTAGTAAATGATTAATTATAAAGTAATAAAAATAAAGCATTAAGAAACAATAATTGCGATTAGAATGTCTTGGACATCACTGACATTAGTGCCATCTCTTTCAAAACTCGCTAAATCCTGATAAATGTGTAGATACTTTATTGAGTGCGATAATATATTGTTACGTTCAGTGGACTTCTACGATTCTTTCTTTTGGAGGTCTGGAGTTTGTAGCATTATAATAGACAATTACAAGTAACGAACAAGTCAGAAGAATGCTGAAAATTTAGAAATTAATAAAATTTTTTTTCACACGGAAAATTGAGCCAAAAATCCAGTATCTCTTCGTAAAGTCTCTCAAGAGATAAAAATCAATCAAATACGCATGAACAGCGGGGCCAAAAGGACACCAAGAACTCCTTGGACATTGCGATTAAAAATAAATATATAAATCGTTTGGGAAAACAAGACCAGCGCCAAGACATTTCTCTAATGATCAAGTCTAATGATCAAGTCGGGGACGATTCCCACGAGTCCGTGATCATAAAATCAAGAAATGGTTAGATGTTTTTGTCCCGTTCCGCTGCACATGTGCTTTCTTGATGTACCTCTGTATATCAATTGAAAAGCGTCATAAAATTAAAGCGATTTCGCCGAACACTCTTTCTTTTCTCAAAAACATTTTGAACTTTGTCCAATCCTAGAACGAGAAGAACTCTAACCAATAATTAACAAAAATCTTTTCTTGCCTCCCCATAAAAATTCCACCAATTCGAACCTGACTGACCCCAGAGGGATCTCTATAGAGGGTAAAAAATCTCGTGTCCTTGCAAACGTGTGCCTGACTGAATTCGAAGACAATTTTTCATGTACAAAAATTTCATCCATCACTTACTTTTTGAGTTATTAAAGGATAAAGTTAGCGAATCACAGGTCGCGTATAGAAGGTAAGCAGGGACGGCGCCGGGTGCACTCATGCAAGCTTTGCGAGCGACCACTCGTTGTAATCAGTTATCTAAAAACATAGAGTTATTCTGTCTCACATAATAAATGCCCACAAATGAGCACTCATACACACACACACACACACACACACACACACACACACACACACACACACACACACGCATACGCACACGCACACGCGTGCGCGCATGCAGATATAATGAAGCAAGAAAATTGTATTGTTTATTTTTATTGTATATTTTTATTGTTTATTTTTATTGTAACATTTTGTTTTCAAATTTCCTAATGAATAAATTTAATAATTGTATCGTAGAAATAAAGCCTTGATTATTTAATTAATTCTCTCGTGTTCATCCTCTGTTCCCCTGAGATTACACTGGGTTCACATGGATTAAAATAACGATTTCGTGTCATGACCGAAAGATAAGGAACCGTCGAACATACTGACATAATTGACATAATTATAGCACGACATGGCACACTGATCCAGTTTTAGGCCCTTAACATATGTGCGTTCGAATCATGATCCGCTCCGCAAGGCGTTGATCGCAAGAGAAATTCCAATCACGTTCTTCCACTCTAACCACTTGGAAATCTGGACTATGGATGTGGACCTCTAAAACTAGTATCTGTACACTCCTCTCTAGCTCCTTGTTCCGGAGCTCGAACATAACAATGTGTTCAATTTCGTTTATTAAATAAGAGTAAAATATAAAATAAAGCCTAAAATATAAAATATAAAAATTTGTTTCCCATATTCATTCCCATATTTAAAAAAAAAGATTATATTAGTCAGTGAAGTATCATGACTTCGCGACATTTAATGAGCTTAGGTAATTCTTTGAAACTTACGAATATATCGAATAGAACTGCAAGCATTTTCATAAATTTATGTCCTCTTGCAAATTCATTCATTGATTTATTCTAAAAAGAATCGGATATTTTATTAAATGTAAAATTATCTTGGTAACTTGCTTGTTGGTAAAAAGTTTTATCAAATTTTAAATCGAAACATAAAGATTTATTTCAGGTTTATCAAATAATACAGGTAACAGATAATTAAAGATATATGAGATGTTTAATAAAAAAAAATTTAATTAAAAGTATATTACGATTATTGCGAAATAGTATTTCCAATGAAACATCATATATGCTTATTTGTAGTCGATTATGTAAAAAACAAATGTATGTTACGATTTCAAAGTGTAATTGTTTATGTAAAGTATTTAAGAGAAATACCTGTCGGGAATGTTAGATACAATACTTTCGATATCTATCGAGGAAGCACTTTGGACATCTTTTATGTCACCTGTGTGATTACCATGAGCAATAATCAGAAGCGTAGGTGTCAATTTATTTTCATTTTGAATCACTTCAGAGTTCGTTATTGGATTGTCAATAACTGATGTTTCTACTGCAATTTTCATAGATGTCATTTTTCGGTTCTAAATGAGTGTTCTGTCAGATTTATTTGTCAAGTGAGGATTACTTTTGAGATTTTGGCTAACTATTTCATCTGGATATTGATGCAGAACATTTTTCTTATAATAATACTGTCCAACTTTCTTAGGATACATTGTTCTTTATTGTATCTTCTTTGTTGTATCAATGATTTTGGAATTTCACTAGTAACTTTAAGTTGAGATACATATCCGATATGACTAGGATAGTGAACTGCTTCGATCGTTTCACTGACAATTGTGACGCTTTGCATTTTTGTTCGTTTAGAATTCAAATTTTTTTTTCTTGTTTATGTGCTTGAATAGCAATTGTTCAAATTTCTGACGAAGTGCTGGATAATAATTGTTCATTTAAATTGCATGATTTGTATGAGAATTATGTTCATGTAAATCTATATCAACAAAAGATTTGTTGCCTGACACTTTTAAAGATGCTTTTGATTGATCATCTTTCTGATAAGTTGGACTTGTTGGTGTCTTGAATAAAAATAAATTGTACAGATATATATCTTTGTTAAAAGAAGATTGATAGAGAAGATATTGCCTTGTTTTATATGAGATAAAATGTCTATTCAATCGCTTTGAGTAGATGACAGTATTTTTTGATCAATTTGAGTAGTACCAGAGTATCGATTGTAGTTGTTATTTATAGAAAACAAAATATTGGAATCTGTAAATGTATCTTTTTGATAAGAAGGAACATTCGTTTCAGAATTCGAAACAGATCCATAAAATCCACTTTGTATAGAATCCTTGATAGATTGCAGATTGCGATCTTTTTTTCAAAATTGCAAATTATATTCGTTATTTGGCTTAGTAGTAAACAATGTTTGATGGAACTTATCAATGCTATAACTTGGTGATTCAACATTCGGCTTTTTCTGACACAGATTAAGATTGTCATAATCATATGGTGTCTTGCTAGGTTTCTTCTGATCATTCAAATTCTATTGTTCCTGATATTGTGGTTTATTGAGATTAATGAAATGATCTTCATTCAGTCCATTAATTAAATCACTATTTTGTAAATATAGATTTCTGACTATGAAAGGAGGCAATCTATATCCATAGGCTAATGGATTCGGATTATGGGGATCGTTAAAAGTATAGGGAACATACGGTTGACGTGATAAATAAAAATTTAGTGAATGAGGAATAGTCATCGGTATAGGTTTTCCCTGCGGTCGAAAAGTTGAGCTAATAGGAAGTTGTTCCTGGATTTTAATATTTGAACTGTAAATACCCTCGTTTTCAAAAACAGGCGCGTTTACGGCATTATTTTGGATCACGTTCGTGATGTTGTTATTTGGACGCACAAGTGGCCTTTTCACAATGATATTATTTTCTTGATTAACACTGTTTTGGAAAGATTTTAGAGTTGTAATTTTTATATGTTTGGGATTATTTTCGGGATGAACTTTTCTCCTAGGATGGATGTTTTCCTCTTTTAATCTAGAAATAGAGAAACTTATGTCGGTCGCCGCTCGTTTAACTTTTTGCGAGTTGTCGACGTTGCTTTTGAATTCAGATAATTGTTCAGTCCAGAATTCAAGGTTGAGATGTCCAATGGCTAAATCATCGCAAGAGAGACGTTGATTCTTCAATACATCCGTCGCGAGGAAAACAAATGGTTGTACGGTTTCAATGTCATCCATCGTTTGGCACAGTACTTGGGCCAAAGTGACTTGTCTGATCTGTTGCAACTGATTAGCGGTAAAACTGCTTTCGCTGTTAGGATTTTCATACCAGAATCGATCGCCACGTCGCAGATTATTAAATTGTTGAGCGATTATACAAGCGAAAGTCGGACCAACTAGACCGCCAATTACTGATTTTTCTGCTAGACCAGCCGAGAAGAGGTCAATATCCTCTACCGATGAGTATAATGATTTTAATTTTCTTATGACATCCAGCGACATCACTTTATTAAGATCCTCAAAAGTTCTTATCGGACTCAAGCTGCAAGGCTCACGCCATCGGACGTAAGGCGGTAAACCGTGATCTCTACCCCGCTGAATATTGAGAGAAGCAAGATCCATGCCGAATGGAAAACCAGGCGTTTGAAAAAGATGATTAGTCATCTCTTCGGTTATGAACTCGTCCCGCCTCTGACATGGTTGATTTATTAATCCTAGAAGAAGGCGATCGACAGATCCTGCTGTGTCCAAATTCGCAGAATTGGTGAACTCGTCATGAATCGAAACATCTGTGACAATATTTATTTTTATTATCGAATACTGTTCAATAATAACTTTATTTCAATTAAGTATAGATTGTATTACTTAATTATGACTATATTATACTCTAAATGCATCACTGATACTTTCCATTTTCGGATTAGATATTTGCATCAAGTACTTAAAAAACGTTATATCTGAATTCATGTATCGTGATTTCCAATTGTGTATTTAATAGTTTTTATTTTAAATTCTTATTTTAAGTGTCAACAAAAATATAAAAATATTAGAACTACATAATGTGTAATTTAAATTGATAAGTAAAAATATATTTCAAGATTTTTAACTTAATTCAAAAATAGAATGTATTAGTGCTGTCAATTATGAATATCAATCGTAATTGTATCTTTGCAACGCCGGTTGGGGAAAGAGAGAGTAACATGATGTGAAGTGGATAACGAATTGTTAATTTTTTTTTAAGTATAATAACAAATGAAGAGAAATGTTTCATTCATTAGAGGTTTTAAGTAATAATAAATAACAATTTCTTATAGTTTGAATTTAGACCAAAAAAGTAGACAATATATTAAGAAAGACAATATATTAAGAAGTGTTTTGGATGCATTCGCATGTAAGTTTGTAATATTTGTTTATAAAGCATAATATAATTAGAGCAAATACTTTTATTTTTTAATAAAATTGCAATATTCCCAGCTAATGCTAAATATTCCCGAAATATTCACGAAAGATTTCTAAAAACCTTCTAAAAAAACAATTTCAAGATAACTCCGGAATATCCCAAAATATTTACGAAATGTACAAGCAATATTCAAATATCG